GATTTTCCTTGCAAGCTTCAAAGCTCAACCTCCTTATCTGTCAAATGAGTGAGTAAGGCTCTAGTCTTCAGTCTGACCAGAGTCTCCATAAAGAAAAAGGACAGTTGCTTTGAGGTCTGAAGCAACAATTTTTACCTTAAGAGTCCAAGCCTCGGTTCTGAGATCATCTAACCCTGATTCAACACAAAGGAGCCAGGCTGTGCTAACGGGGCCAGTCAGACTCAGGTCTCTGTCTGTCTCCTGGTCCACAGGGGCTGGGTCGTTCCCTTTGTTTCAGGCATGGTAACAAGCCAGCCAGGAGCTCAGCTGTAGACGTGTTTTCATTATTTTCCACCCTGTTAAACCCCATCACAAGGCAAGCTGCTGTCAGCCTAAATGAGAATTGAGAAGATTTATCTCACTTCTCTCAGGATTCAGCTCAGGAAAAAGACCCTTCATTTCCTAAAGGCCCTGCTGACCCTTTCTGTGAGTCATCCCCACCCAGGAAAAGAGATGTGACAGTGCAAACTCGCAGAAGTCTGAATCACTCGGGTAGGGTTCTGAAAGCACTGTACGATGTCTGTCTTTCTTTTGCAGTGTATTTACCTTCCTAATTATGTTAGCTTATGCAAATATTAAATTTAGACTACATCTCATAAATAGGGCCTCAGGAGAAAATGAGCCTGCAATGGCCACTTTGTTATGTAAAGAATCCTCCAAATTGATAATCTAAACCCAGACAATGGAGAGATTGTATTTTAAATGAACTTTTCCTCTTGCTTCTAGCAATTTCAGGTCAACAAATCCCTAAAACTGACACCTGGCAAGAAGAGATGAGCTAGATTATTTTAGTAATAACAAAACCAAAACTATTGCTGTTGAGCAGATTAGTAGTAATCCTGGTGTGGTGTTATAGGATATGCACTGGACTGCTAATCTCAAGGTCTATGGAAACCCTACAGGGTCACTATGAGTCAGAACCAATGGCAATTAACAACAACAACAGATTATGATTTATAACATCTGGAAAGGGTAGAGTTGTTAAGGTCCATCCGTATAGGGTTTGTGAGGAGAGGCTGGTGAGCTTGAACCCCCAACCTTGTGGTTCAAACCAACTTTGCAGTCCAGTGTATTAGCCCGCAGCTCCACACCAAGACTCCAAAGGACAGAGCAGAGCCGCCCAATCAGGTTCCTGAGAAAGTATGGAAGCAGACTGCCACATCTTTCTTTCTCGTTGCAGCTGTGGGACTTCTGGTTAACAGTCAAGGGCTTTAAGCACTGTGCTGCCAGAGCTTGGGTTTTGTTTTTGTTTTTCTTCCAAGTCATAATAGCCCCTTGTATTCATATGATAATAGCATCCACTGACTGCTTACTAAATGCCAGGAACTTTATAACACTCCTGGAAATATCCCTAACCCCCATTTCCCAAAGGAGGATGCTGAGGCACAGGGAGTTTAAGTAACAAACCCAAACACACACAGCTAATAAATAGAGGAATTATGAATCCAAGAATTTAAGAATTCTGCACCTGGAGACCATACCCCAAACCACATCACAATGAGCCCTCTCCTTCACATACACTGTTCTTTTAACCCTCACACTGCCCCTGGGAAGTAATTAAACTTAATCTCATTTTACAGACAAAGAATGTACGGGTCACAGAGGCTTGATGACTCGCCCACTTTACAGACAAGGAAAGTGAGGTTCACAGAAGAAAGTTGGGTCTACAAACATTTCTGCAGCACCACACAGGTGCCAGATATTGCACGAAGACCACAGGAGCGCATAAAAATGACCGCTCCTTCTACACTGAAAGCATCAGGCATTGAAACAGCATTAGGCCCTGTTATAAATGAGTCCAGGACAAGCTCTGTATACTGGCCCTGAGTTGTCTACGTCTTCACAGCAAACTGAAGTCCAATAATCCAAAATTCCCACTGGTTTGATATTTAATTTTTTAAAAACAGTTTTTCAAATGATACAGATAGTAGATTTTTAGCCACTTAGGGCCTCCCTGCTTTACCTACCCCGATAAATTGCATCTAACATCTGTTATCCCTGAATAAGCTGAAGACCCCCAGCTGTGTCTGTCCTTCAGTGCTCTCTGACCCAGAGACTCCTACTTTGCTGCAGGAGAACATCCCCTAAACCAAACAAAACCAATCCCATCAAGTCAATTCCAACTCCTAGCGACCCTGCACAGGGATTCCAAAACTGTAAATCTTTACAGGAGCAAAGAACCTCATCTTTCTCCTATGGAACAGCTGGTAGATTTGAACCATTGACCTTGCAGTAAGCAGCCCTTTTATTCTCCTCACCTTAGGGGTTCCTTGTCTCTTTTGGTGGTTCCCTGAGCCATTAGCCTCTGGAAGACCTCTAACTGTGTAAGCCCACTCATTGGTTTCAGAAAATAGTTTGTTATACAACACTGTTACCTCATGATCTATCTTCTTCCTTGATCAACCCCAAACTCCCTTGCAGTCACTGTTGTTGGTATGTGCCGTCGAGTCGATTCTGACCCATAGCGACCCTGTATACGGTTTCCAGGGAGCAGCTGGTGAGCTTGAACCACTGACCTTGCAGTTCAAATGACTTTGCAGTCTGATGCATTAGCCCATGTAGGTATAAGCCTAAAATTTCTATTGCAGAAACTGATTCTAGGTGAATAGCAGCAGTTGTGACAAAGGTATATGCACATAGAAGCTCACAGCAGTATTATTTATGGAAGCTGTTAAGTGTTGTGGAGTCGGTTCTGACTCACAGTGACCCTGTATAGAGTTTTTGAGGAGTGACTGGTGGGTTTGAACCGCCAATCCTTCAGTTAGCAGTTCAGTGCCACACCAGGACTCAATTTATGAGAGTAAAACAATGGGACAAATGTAAGTATTCAACAGTAAGAGATTGGTTAATAAATCAGGGCACAGCTATATAATAAAATAAAGGAACTCTGGTGGGACATCAGGTAAGCACTTGGCTGTTAACTAAAAGGTTCTAACTCAACCAATGGCTCCAGGGGAGAAACACCTGGCTATCTGTTCCCGTAAAGATGACAGCCAGTTCTACTCTGCCACATGGGGTCACTGAGAGTTCAAATTGGCTCAACAGCACCTGACAATAACAACATATAATTAAATGTTATGTTATTATTGGGACCCTTGTGTGGTGCTGTAGGATATACACTGGAATGCTAACCGGAAGGTCAGAGGTTTAAACCCACCACCTGCTCCTTGGAAACTCTATACAGGGTTGCTGTAAGTCAGAACCAACTCAACAATGCTTAACAACAACATGGCATTATTAGGAGTCCTGGTCTGGCATTGAAGGATAAGCATTGGACTGATAACTGCAAAGTTGGAGGTTCAAAACCACCAGCTACTGTCTGAACTCCTATACAGTAATGCAATACGAATGGGCACATAGCAACAACAAGATGTTATTATTTAAAATATTCTAGAAATATATGTATTGATATGGGAAATTTTTGTAATAGATTGCTAGGGGGCATAAACAAGTAATAAAATCAGAAGTACAGTATCATTTCATTTGGGAAAAAAATATATGAACATTTGTTGTTGTTATTAAATGCTGTTGAGTGGCTTCTGACTCATAATGACCCTGTAGAGAGTTTCTGAGGAGCAGCTGGTGAGCTGAAGTTTAAACCAACTTTGTAGTATAGCATATTAACCCACAGAGCCACACGAGGACTCCATATGAACACTAGAAAATCACTTTGGTATTCCAGACATTTTTTCACAGGTACATATGTAAATGCTGAATGGAAACATTTCAGGCGATTTTAATCTGTGTGTGTACTCATCTCCACTTTTCCAGATTTCCTATAAGGAGTGTGTATTTCTTACCAGATCACACAAAGGTTTTTCTTTTTTGTGATGGTGGTTACTGAAGTGGCTGAGAACACATGGCCTTGAAAAAGGCAGCTTCAGGTTCAGACTTAGGATCTGGGGTGCTAAGTCCAGTGTTCAGCTCCTTGGACCCTTGAACAACCTGCCACACTCACCCTGCCCTCCTGGACCCATCTCCCCAAACCTCATCCTTCCGTGGCTGGCACAGTGTTGCCAAGACCAGCCTGGTGCAGAGGTGGGACATTGAGGGTAATTCGCTTGCTGTCATAGTTACCTAGAAATATCATAACAGACATACCACAAGTGATGGCTTTAGCAACCAGAAATGTTTAGGAGGGTAGAAGTCCAAATTCAGAGTGCTGGCTCTTGGGGGAGGCGTCTTCTTTGTGGCCTCTGGGGAGAGGTCCCTGGCTCCTTTCAGCATCTACAACCCCAGTATCCCTTGGAGATCTCCATACCTTGGTATCAACATTTCCCTGGATTTGGAGCTTCACAGTGCAGGGACCCCAGGTCCAAAAGACACAGTCCACTCCTAGCTCACCTATCTTGGAGGTAGTTGTTGTTAAGTGCCATCAAGTCGGTTCTGACTTGTAGCAACCCTGTATAAGGGTTTCTGAGGAGCAACTAACTGGTGGATATGACCTGCTGACCTTGTGGTTAAAAGCCCAGTGCTTATCCTACAGCGCCACACCAGGACTCCATCTTGGTAGGACTCCATCTTGGTAGGATTCCATCTTGGTAGGACTCCATCTTGGTAGGACTCCATCCTGGTAGTGACTTGGTGCTCTCTCATTTTTATAAGATAAAAGGTGTTGCATGCCATGCCGTTGGGAATCTCCCATAAATCAGATCAGGATGATGATGGGATTAAGTGTGGCGCTGTGGGTTAATGCGCTTGAATGCCAAGTCGGTTTGAACTGCAAGGTTGGTGGTTCAAGCTCACCAGCCACTCCATGGGAACTCTATACAGGGTCGTGATGTGTCAGAACTGACTCGACGGCACTTAACAACAACAACAACAAACCCTACCCTTAACCCTCTTATTGGTTTATCACATCAAATCACATCATGGGGGATAGCCACATCTCAACTGCCAACCCACTGGGAATCCTGGCCCAGTCAAGTTGACACAAAGCCTTAACCATCACACTAGCCTACCTTTTTGAAGAGCCTGAGGACATCCTCACTGATCTGGGAGAGGCGCACGATGACATTATTCATGAAGATGTCATTGAGGGTGGCGTGGTCTCGGCTTTCCCGCCTGGTTTGATGCAGCACCAAATACCAACAGTTCACAGGGGAGAGGAGGTACTGATCCTTCCTGTGGAAACCAAAGCAGTTCTGGTTGACTTCATATGACTGCCATCTACAAGGGTTTATGTTGTTCCACACCTTGGCTCTTGGATCCTCTTAGCCTCCCTTCAAGGTTAGCTTTATTATGACACATTTTACTGCTGAGCAAACAGAAGCATCTGTACCTGAAGCTCCTCTCCCCAGGTCAGGTAACTAGCAGAACTCTATCTCATTCTATTTTTCTACTGAATGCAGCACTAATTACCGGCACTGCTCCTGTTTGGGGAAAAATTGCCTTTCTTGGGCCTAAGAAATCCTCTCCCCTTGTGTTTGAAATACTCGTGTGATTTCTAGACTAAGCGCAGTGGGAAGAACAAAGAGTGGGCCCCTTCTTTCTCCTTCCCTCCCTCTCCTAACCTCTCAGGTATCAGTTTGTATCTCTTGGCTTCCTAAAAACTAGGTGACACATGGCTTTGCCCCTTGATGAAACAAAGGCATAAGGAGTCTGTGTTTGGAAGAAGTTAAGCAAAGGCACTTTTGAGTAAGGCACATCCAAGACAAAAAACCTCCTATGATAATGGATGGATTCTTAGCATGCACCACCTATGTATTATGACAAAACAGTGGTTCTCCAAGTGTGGTTCCCAGACCAGCAGCAACTGCATCACCTGGGAATTCGTTTAGACATGCAGATTCTCAACTGTCAATCCAGACCTGCCAAATCAGAAACCCTGGGTTTGGGCCCAGCCAACTGAGTTCTAGTGAGCACTCCAGGTGACTCTGATGTTCTCAAGTCTGAGGAATTTTTCTTTTTGTCACCAAATGGGCTAAAAATCTATTGAGGTGAGAAGAATCTGGGTGAAGGGAACTCAGTTCTGATAGAAGATGGATTTGTTGGAACAGTCTACGGAAAAGTGAGGTAGGTGTAGGTGTGTGCAACATGCTGCTTTAGAAGGCATGAACAGACTTCTTCTTTGCATATAGTTTAAAGAAAGAGCCAGAACACTGAGATTCATCCACCCAGTCAGAAATCACTCCACATGTACTTGTGTCAGCCATCAGTTAGGCCCAGGACTCACAAAGGTGACTGGGACACAGACCCTACCTTGGACGTATGCATAGTGGAGGAGGCAGAAGAAAAGAACTACAGCAAAAAGTGATAAAGTGTGATCGCAGACTCACCCACAGAGCATCAATTCTTGAGAATCTGGAGCAAGTTCTGCTCTCCTGCCAAGCTCTCTGTGTACCAATCACGTGGCTTCTTTAGCTTTTTTAATGTTTGATTGTGAATTATGTGATAGTTCACATGGGAGAACATTAGCTTTATATTCATCCTATCATATATCATTTCATTGCCATGGTTACAATCCCCTCCATGCATCATCAACCAACCAAAGGGTATACCCTGAAAGCCTTCCCCTAGTCAACAGCACACAGCCCCTCTCCCTCTCTGGCTCTAGAGTCCCCAGCCGCTCCATCTCTCCTTTAGCTTTTGTGCCACATTCTTCCCCGCCTTGGCCTTCACGAATGCTGTCCCCTCCACCTGGAATGCCTCCGTCTCTTCCTCTAGGACTCAGGTTCAGTGATAACTCCTGTTGGGAGCTGGTCTCTGTGACATCGTTTGGAAATAGGATCTTTAAAGATGTTGCCACTTGAGTTAACATGAGGTCCTACTGCAGTAGGGTAAGGTCCTCATCCAATACGATCAGTGTCTTTATGAGGAGAGGCTAAGAGACCCAAAGGGAAAATGGCCACACGAAGACAGAGACAGAGATTGGAATAATACATCTCCAAGCCAAAGGACTGCTAGGAACCACCAGGAACTAGAAAGAGGAAAGGAAAGAGCTTTTCCTGTAGCTGTCACAGAGAGCATGGCTCTGCCTGTTAACAACTTGAGTTTGGACTTGTAGCCTTCAGAACTGACAGACAATCAATTTCTGTTGTTTTAAGTCACCCAGTTTGTGATGCTTTGTTAGGCAGCCCTAGGAGACTAAGACACACCCCTAGCAGCGACTCATCCAATCACACGCCAAGGCAGGGGTTCTCAAAGTGAGGTTCCCAGGCCACCTGCATCAGCATCACTTGGAAATCTGTTGGAAATGCAAGTTCTCAGAGTCACCCCATACCTGCAGAACATTAAACTCTGTGAGCGGGGCCCAACATTTATGTTCTAACCAGTCCTTTAGGAAGTTCTGATACAAACTCAGGATTCGGAGCTTCTGTCTTTGGGGTTTCCATCTCCTTTTCCCCCTTATCCTACTGTTTTTGTTTTGTTTACCACATCCAATGTCCAGCAACTTGACTGACAAACAGTAAATGCTATGGAAGAGACCCATGAGAGGATGTCATATTTGTGCTGGGTTTTGAAGGATGAATAGGAGTTTCCCCACTATATAATCTAGAAATCATACAATAAGGGCAGAGAAAGAGTGAAATTGTAAGCAAAGGAAATTGTGGGTATAAAGATAGAGAAGGAGCTCAGTAGAGATTGAAATCAAAGTGTGGGAAGGGGAAGCTGGCAGGATGTGAGACCAAGGCAACAAGTTAGGGCCTCAATTATTGTGGAGATTGAATACAATACTAAGGAGTCTGGCCAAATAGTTCTCAATCTGGGTAGCACTCTAGAAGCACTTGGGGGCACTTTTAAAACTGCCAAGACCCAGGCCCTATTTAAGACCAATGCATTGATACTTTTTAAAACACTGTAGAAGATTCTGAAAAAAATATATTTATCAGTTAGGGGTTAACTCAATTGTTGTTGGTGGTGCTAAGTGTCATCAAGTCAGTCCTGACTCATAGCAACCCTATGCACAACAGGTTGCCCGACCCTGGGCCAACCTCATAATTGTTGCCACGCTGAGCCCATTGATGCTGCCACTGTGCCAATCCATCTCGCTGGGGCTCTTCCTCTTTTTCTCCAATCCTCCACTTTACTAAACATGATAGATATCCTTCTCCAGTGACTGGTCCTTCCTGACAATATATCCGAAGTATGTACTCGTCTGTGAGTTTGTCGTACTCTGGTAGCTTGTGAGTTGCTGTGATTCTGGAAGCTATGCTACCAGGTATGTTAAATGCCAGCAGGGTCACCCATGGTGGACAGGTTTCAGCAGAACTTCTAGATGAAGACACACTAGGAAGAAGGAGAGACAAACTACTTCCAAAAATTTAGTCACTGAAGACCTTATGAATAACAGTGGAACTGCTGAGTCCTCACCAGACTATTAAATATTGAAACATAATAAAGAGTTCCAGGATATACTTCAAACTCAATAGTAGCAAACAACAACAATAGAAGATTCTAAGTACAGCCAGGATTGAGCAGCCCTGCTGTAGGCCGTGGGTTATCCTGGCAGTTATTTAAGCAGCAGTATGAGCTAACCAGTGTGTGCTTCAGAAAGCTCATAGAAGGCAGCTTGGAGGATGGGTGGTTGGATGACTGAATCGATGAATGGATGTGGGCATGGCCATGGGGCTGGAGACAGGAGAACCGGTCAGGAAATGATCTTAGTCCTGAAGAAAGACAGTGAGGTGGCTCGAGGAAGCTGAACTTAAGGACTCCTCAACATGAGAGCAGACAATCTTAAACACAGCCTGGAAACAGACAGGAGAAAGAGGAGTGGATGGTGATTCTGAAATCTGAACTTTAGGCAACTGGGTAGATACGGATGACATGAAGAAAGATAGAAATGCAAGGAGAGAAGTAGATCTAGGCAGAAAATACTTTGTTTATCCTATTTTCCACAGCTTCCTAGGAAGTGATGGAAAAGAAAAGATTAGAGTAAAAGAGACTTGAGATAATTGAGCTATTGCCTAAATTACTTCAGGGGCTTAGCTCAGCCTGGGGCACCCCAGTTGAACAGCATCAGGAAATTAAATGTGCAAAATTTCTGGAAGTCAGAACAAGCAGGTGAATGTCCGAGGGAAGAAAAAAGACAAGTGATCTTGAAAAGGGACAGTATGAAGACTATTCATTAGGTCACCTGATCAGACAGATGCCAATGTAGGAAGGGCAAAGAGGAGAGCACTTCCCCTTATCAGAAACTGTGGCCCAGGAGGCAGTTCAAGCTAAGGTCCAATTGCAGGGAAGATAGAATGAGGAAAGGGAAACAAGAGGAAGTTACCCAAAGCAGCTAAGGACTTGTCAAGTTGAAGTGGGTAGCTGCTGGGAACTTGAAGGCTTTCATTCATTCATTGTCTGTCTCGGTCTACACATAATCCATGCTATGATGCCACGGAGACCAGGGCAGACAAGGCCAGGCTCCCACACGTCTTCTCTGAATCTGGAGACCCAACGAATCAGAAAACCATGATTGTTGTTAAGTGCCATCAAGTCAGAGACCCTGTATAGGATTTCTAAGGAGAGACTGGTGAGCTTGAACTGCTTACACTGCAGTGCAAACCGACCATGCAGTCCAATGCATTAACCCACAGCACCACACCAGGACTCCAAAAACCTCATAAATGTAGTGATGGGCAGGAAGGAGGCTATGGAGCAGTGGAGGGACACCCAGGTTTAAAGATGGGGTGGTCATGGATGGCTTCCTGGAAGAGGCACTTTCTAGTCCAGGAACTAAATGCTGGAAGGGATTTTGATGGGAAAGAGATTTCTAAGCGGAAAAATAAGATAAACAAAGGCCCAGAAACAGGCAGGAGAGAATGTTGCTGTGCTGAATGTATTTGGAGGGAGGGGGTTTAAGCATGGTGTTCCAGGGCCGGGATGGGAAGTGAGGTTGGAGAATTAGGTTTGTGGCCAGATTACAAAAGGCCTTTAAATCCCATTAAAGAGTTAGAGCTTTGTCCTGAAGTCAGCGAGGAGCCACTGAAAGGTTAAGAGCAGAGGGGTGAAAGGACAAGCCCTCACTCTGGCTGAAGTGCTCAGAATGAGCCTGAAGGGGCCAAGAGAGAAGCTGAGTGATTCCAGAAATACTGAGGTGGTAAACTGACCAAATGTGGAGATTGACTGGGTGGGGTCTGGAATTGGGGATTGGGAGGGAGTTAAAGCTACCTAGGACAACTCCCCAATTT